ATGGCTAAATCTTACAGAATTTGCAGAGAAATTTTGTCCTAGTCCCCTCCCATCCTTGAAAATAAGGAATTCCACAAAAAAACACAGGTAGCTCGCGCGAATGTCAGGCAATTGTTTGATATGAATCTTTCTTTAATAATGGTAAAAGCTAGGTTTTGCCCCGAATACCCGTTAAAATAATATTTCTTTAAAATATATGCCTTTTCAGTCGGTTTGTCCTTTMTGAGATCGACCTATTTATTAATCCACAATTCTTACGATGCAGTGACGTTATTTTCCGGAAAAAAAACCCGAGGGAATACACGTAATCGTCTCACTTTTTATTCGCTAAAATAACGCTATTTTTCAATGACAGCCATTTTAATTCGTCTGAAACTTGCAGATGTTATRCCCAAAAATACTTCARCAATCGGCCATCTTGTTTGTCTCCATATATGGCATAGATTTGSTAAAGGAAGMCCGAACTTAAAACACAGRGATCCCGCTCGAGTGACAGACAATTGGTTYTAACTATATATAGCCCATCCAACTGACATTTCTCTTTGAGTTTATATAATTACTTTAGGGACATGAACAGCCTTTTCGAGACCAGTCTATATAAGAAATATACACCATCAATTCTTATTCCCCATTGGAAGTTGTAGACGATTCAAAAACACCTTAGCTTGTATGGTTAGYTCTAATTTTGTCTATTTTTCAGCAATTTGGCACCTATTAAACCGTACAATTTTACTTTATTATTTTAGGCAAGTAAATTGCTTCCGTCAAATTTTTCTAATGACAAACGTCTTTTCCAAGAATTCGTTTAAAAATACCCTGTTTGACGTATAGTAACATATGCACCTGTTTCGTTCTATATTGGTTCTTTGAATTCCGTGTCCCACACTAGTTGTGTATAGTTTTTTTTCCTTTTTGAATAGTAGCTATTTCCAAGAAAGCTCAGARAGATCGGTGATTTCAAGCCAAGAACTCCAGTTTCGAATTCTCTTTTCTGCAAGCTTAGCTTGAATCAAGCATGAAATATTTATTGTCTTCTTTATAGACAGAATGTATGCATTACAATAGGATCTCTGCTAGATAAATGAATATGTATCTAACATGCTTTCGAGGTTAAGGCTGCACAAATAAGATCTCGAAACTGAAGTATTCTTTATCGGTAATACATCTGCTAAAAAACAATGAGACAAACAAAGAAAGTRTTATAAATAATCTTTCTTTAACGAAAAAGATTGTATTGACTGACTTTGATTAGTATTATAATGCTGATAAGTTGATATATTTGGTGTACTGATATTTTTTGTCAATTTTARCCAGCAAATACCAAAATTCACGGAACTGAACTSAATTCTTGATGAGCCTTTTTAAAAATTATTATTAGATAGCTATTTCAAAGAACGGTGAAAATACTGAACSCTARCTTCCGTTGAAAAGATCAYTGTCGAAGAMATTAAAGCAGTGTTTTCCTGCCTGGCAGGCCAAGGCCAAGGTTAAACATACATGCCTTCTATAATGTTCTGAAGATATTGTACTTAAACATGTAGGTAATCAATGGTTTGATTAATACTTCAGATAGATTTTCAATCCTTACAATATGAAAACCGAAGTTAGTAAGTAGTGTCTACGTCAAAAAGAGCAATCTATGCATTAAGAAACACCAGACTAAAAAAAAAAAAAGATTTGCCAATTTAAAATGGCGGAAACTAGCGGTAAACTAGTGTGAGCTGCGTCTGTGTTTCTAAAGAAACATATTTTTGTGTAAAAAGATAAATTTAACACCGCAAAAAAGTAGATGATGAAACAACTTAATACTGATGTATTGGACGTTAATCCTTCGTTTTATACGTTTTTTTTACAAAACTGCTTCGCCAATTTAAGACTAGTTCCTGGCACCTATAGCCTGGCGCGGTATGTTCTTGGTTCGTTTCTATAGGAGGATGTCTGGCCGACTCTACGCGTGGGCACAAGCCAAGCGTAGGATGCAAAACTGAACAAGTGGCGAGGTCTTGTTCGCTCAAGGATATCTACTTAAAAYACTAGCCGTTTCAGCCAATCAGAGCGACGCAACTAGTATCATTATAAATCGGTGAAATTGGTATAAATTTCTTGTGCATTTTGGAAAGCCCTGCATCTAGATTATAGTATAGGGAGCTTTTTTTCATTGATGACAAAAAATTAGAATAGCTTGAGGGATCGATGTTTTTTTTTAAGAAAATCAGCGTGTTTTTTTTTTCCATTCATATTCAAATTGCACAATTATAGATAAAATAACGCCTTTGAAAATACGGACAAGTTAACAAGRAAAACTTCAGTACAATTTGAACTAAAAAAGCGTTGCAGTCATCTGGAATTTAAAATTCAAGCAAAGTAGAACAACGACAAGGTATGTTTAGRAGGGAGTGCCATTGTCATTTTAGACAGCAATGTGCTCGAATTGATTGTATTTTTTCTCGTATATCAACCTTTACAGCAGTATTAATATAGAAAAAGTAAAAAATAAGGATTTSGAGAGTTTCGAATTCGGAGTTGATACTATAGTGGTCAAAGCAATCGTAACGCGAAAAAAATATAGCTGAATGTTGAGCCTGARGGCTAAGCTAACTGATAATTTGTCTAGTTAGCTCACAAAGTTTATGTTAAAAGCGCTAAAATAAGAAATAGGAAGGGGGAATTGTAGTTAAGATATAATATGCAAGGAATAAAATAATGCTTACATAGCCTTTGAATCCCCCGTGTCCTCGTCTTTGAAGTCAAATGTTCGCTTCTCGATACAGTCATGTTTCTACGATTTTGTCGAAACACAAACGCAATGTCTAAAGAAGAAAAAGCTTAAGTTGCTCGTCCAAGAGCGCCTTCAAGGATGCGCAGAATGGGCTACCAATCGAGCGCCTTCGAGTAGTCTGACCTTAGCCATATGTCAGTCAATTTAGACTTTTCCAGCGTCTCTTTTCCCTTCTTTGCTCGACAAAATCGCTCAKAAAGTGTCGATAAAAAAGTTCAGTCGATAGCAAGGTGCCAGGTCTTGAAGTCGAAGAAAAGAAAGAATTAGGTTTTGAAAGCATACTTGCTAAAAAATTCAAAATCTTACGTTTCTACCAACTGCTCATTTACAACAACTAAAGTTAACCARTTGTCTTTKCTGTTTGGATAACTGGTGCATTTTGTAAAGTCAATCTAAAATTAAATKACTCAGTATAGCTGCTTGCCTGAAAGTTCCTCAAAAAGACAGTATATTGACAAGATTTTATAAGCAAAAAAGAATGCTCCTTGTTCCTTCGCTAGCATGCTCGAGGGCCTCTTGCTCRCTTGTTTAGCAAAAATAGTGTCTTTTCCCTCAGTTTCACTGGTCTGTTTTAACTTATATTCTCTAATTGCCCGTCACTTACTTGATGAATCAATAAATCATGCAATTCTCTATGAAATAACTATATTTCTCTCTTCCGAAAAGCGATATTATTTTCACTATAGTAAAAAAAGCACATTCGAGGTTTCTCTATAGTATATAGGAAATAAAAAAAATATATTTAACGGCATAATTTGCTTTCATATAATACGACACCGAAGTTAGCTTATATATATTATATATCTTTTCAACACTCGAAGAAAATCCGTACATGTAATATCCGCTATGTATAAAATATCTTTTGTTATCATATAATCATCTATGAAATAGCTATATTTCTCTATTTCGTAAAGTTGATATTTTCACTATAGGTTTTTTCTATATACTGGAAGTAAGGAAAAAGGTATTTTACGACATAATTTGCTTTCATATGTAATTATATGATAAACAGAATATTACATGTTCGCTACGCTCACTCGTGAGAGATCTTTTCAACACTCGAAAATAAAATCCATATCTCCGAGCGCCCATGTAATATCCTCTATTTATTTTTTAGCATGTTTTCTTTCACAAGGTATGATATTCCTGAAATAAGTATTGAGAATTAAGAACTCTTCGAAAACACATTTATTGTGTGTTGTGKAAATGCATTCAGGGCCGTATTCTTCCGAATTTATTCACAGAATAAAACATTCACTCCAACAGCAGCTATTCAACAGAGAAGAAAGGAAGATTTTAAGGCCTTTGAGAAAATGATTGAAGTCTGCCAATCACCTTMGTTTATCAATGTGATTGGAGACTTTTATCGTGTTCTTGGGCCAATTAACCTTGGGCATCAGGTGTCACATGACCACAGCAGAATCCAATGAATACTACTGAGAACTAAATTCAACAAATCATTAAGCCAGACGAAGGGCGTTAAACTATGCAAGTGAAGAGTTGAGATTATTTCCAMAGAGCGAAGGTGAAGAGAGTTTCTAAGCCTTGAGAGGGAAGCACATCGGATGACCCTGGCTACGATTCTCAAATTACTCTCTTTCATAYACCTATACTACTACCTTAACATTGAGTACACTAGCACACAACACTCGTTATAAACAGCTAGGTTTTAGTTTTTAACTGAAGAAAGAAACCAGAGTCCTTACCATTGCCGCAAGAGARAAAAAGCCAACCTAAAAACTCAATTTCCGAAACTGGAGCTTAACCAGAGCCAAAACCAAAACACTCAAACAAGAGACTTCATCATAACAGTTCAGTTTTGCATGTCAGTCACAGACTTGCAGAGTACGAAATACGACTGAGTTTATTTATTCTACAATTGTAGATCTATTCTTAATTTCCTGCCCCGTTAGAAATTATGTAAGTTTCATCTAAGTGATTGGATGAAATTAACTGYTCAAAACAAGAATCAATAAAAACGTTAGCTTGCATGAGATTCACAAGTGATTTATTACCGCCCACTATTTTCTTGTTTTAGACGTTTTGGACTATAGATTTAAACTGAGGTTATCTGCACTAAGAATCTTAAATACRTACTCTAGAAACATCTAAATCGCTAGACCCCCAAAATTTGCCTCTCTCTTCTTGATGTCTCACATGTTTTCCTGCTTTAGACATTTTTGTCTCCACATATCAGGTAATTCTGAAATCACAGGCYTAATAAAAACSGTTGCCTGTGCGACCCGCCTAGAATAATCAACAAACAAAKACGTCATCCACAACATTGGAAGTGAACTAACACGCTGTGTGACACCCGAACTCTGCAGCGAGCTCAACGGACGAAAATTCCGTTAAATGAGCTTTTCTACACATTGAAAGCGAAAAAGATGTTAGCTTTGGTTGTCTGGGTGGCTTGTGTTTTCTCAGTAACGCTTGGGTACCCTCATGGTGGCAGAAGGACACCCGTTAATAAAAGATCGGAYTATTCCATGTACGATAATCAATTCTGTAAGTACAACAAAAGATTCTTGTGCGTTTGAAAGACAGTTTGATTTTATTTGCAATAAAAGGCCTTGGTTTATAGTGATTGTTATTAAGTTGAAATTATGGTAGGTGATATTTTTAAAAAAACATTAAGAAAACAATTGTATATTTTTTTCTCATGGTCTATGATCAAAAGTAAACACGATCATTGTCCATACGATAGCATTAAGATAGAGTGATTTTTTTATTAAGACAAGACTTGCTGCAACCTTAATTCAAACGTTTYAATTTGTCAGAAATTCAATTTCGACGCACACTTAGTTAGGGAGGATTTTAATTTAAAGTTAGGGGGTGAAATCCCTTAAAATAGATATAAAAGATCGCTTATAAAAATGGCCGTAAACAATACAACTTAAAATTCAGATCATAAATGAGTAGGAAATAGCGTGAATTTAAACGAAAAACATTTCCATTTTCACTATTTTTTATTGAGTTAAATAAATGCTAGCTGAAAAAATTCTGCAGAACGGATTTTTATGCAGAACAGCTCCAATGGTTCCACTTGGCAATTTATTATCAAAGAAATAAGCTCACGRTTGGTCACGTACATTGCTTGTACCCTAAATTTCTAACAAAATTGAGCGCCTTGGGTGCTATTATTTTGTTTAAAACATAATCGTCCACTGAAGCTGCTCGATTTCCTCATTTTCATATATTTTGTTTCATACATATAGTTTGATTATTAATTGTGCACATCACTGCATTAAAAAATGCTTATGACGACTTATTTTGTAAAGTGTTACATAATAATTAACAGAAAGGATGAAACAGTAAAAAAAGAAAAAAAATAATAATGAAAAAATAATAATAATGATAATGATGATAATAATTGTGATGATGAGGATAATAATAATAATAATGATGATGATGATGATAATGATAATTAATAAATCAGTAAATCAATAATAATAATAAAAAATATAATCAGAAAAAGAGCTGTACAGCAGGTTGGGTATATTTCCGTATGTGTGCTCAAATTCATCGGATGCATATCCTGAAAGGTGGMCATACCTTTACWTCGAAGCGAGACGACCGTTGAGCGTGCAATGATAGAAATCTTCTTTTACACCTACAGACAATTATTCACAGGTTTCTTTCATTGCACGCTTAACGGTTGTCTTGCTTCGATGTAAAAGCACGGCTAAGTTTCAAGATGGCGCAGGGAACCGTGAAGAAGACTATCATATCTAAATTTGGTATATTCATGGGTATCTGAATGACTGTATTTTCCAACAACTAACGAAGAAATATCATTTGTTTAAAGTTGACGTGGGAGATACACCTTTGGATAATGAGGTGACAGATTGCGCCCTAGTGCGACACCAATACGCTCGTGGATACATACGACTAAGAGAGTTCCTTGAAAGAATGGAAGGATGCGGTATCAAAGGTAACGGCTACATGAAGGATCTACCTATCTGTTCTCTAATAGGCAATGTGCAGCGACGCCAGCAAAGCATAATGGTAGTTGTAGTCCTTGCTGCTATTACAGTCCTCCTAATCGCTTATTTTCTTTAAAGCGACTTTTTGTCTTTGCAAAAATAAATTCTTTGCACTGTTTCATCAAAGAAAACATAAAAACGGAATTCAGGGAGATTTTCAAGGAACTTTAAAAGTACAATATAGGCCTTTTGTATGAAATGGTCACATGGTACAAAATCCGCCATACTGGATGGCAAAATACCCACTGGGATTTTCAAAAAAAAAAGAAAATCAAGCTTGACGGACTCCGTTCCTTTTGTTTTTGAGGTTGTTTACATTCATTGCCATCCAGTATGGCGGTTTTTGTACCATGTGACCGTTTCATGGCCTATTGCATATTGTGCTAGTGAAGGGCCACTTTAAAAGCAAAAGGATGATTAGAAATATTGTGCTAAAAATGAGAAGATTTTGTCTATCAAGTCACGTATGCGTCTACTTTATTCTAAATTAAGACAAATTGTGATTATCTTTTTTTACCAGGWAAAATGAAGAATATCGCTGGAATTGAAGCAGCGACTAAAGAAGCTACAGACCTCCCCTCTAGTGTCACTTCAGGACAACAGAATAGTGKCGCCAAAGCTGCCCCGTTCAAGCCACGCCCTATTGGTGAAGGTAATCACCGCCATTAGCCAATGAGAGTGCGCGATATATTTAAAAAAATTATTATACGCCTTTTCCCGTTCTTGCTCAGGCTAAGCCTCAAATCGGAGAATATTCAAATTTGTAGAGCTCTTGTTATGTCAACATTTTTTCGTGCTTTCTTTTGTTCTATACGCAAGTGAGTCTGTTGTCTACTAAAACAGCGGTCGCTCGCATTCAGCTGGAAAATGGCTTATTACACAACACACAAATACAACTGACTCTCTTTGACGACCATTCTTGAAAGCCACCACCTCTTAAATTTCCCGTTATAACTGTTTCCCATATAAACTCTGTAAAAAAAACTCTCTCGTAAGCGACCATCTATCGTAAACGACCACTTTTTCCCGATCCCGAGGTGAACGCTCAGGAGAGAGTTGACTGTATAGTCATAATAATTAACGTTGTCCAGTTGAAAGGGCGAAGACAACAACCAAGTCATTTGCTTAAACTTTTCTTATCTAATAAATGGATAAGCAACTTAACGAGCCAACCGCACATCGCTTGACATAGCATAACATTTTTTAGTTCTAGAGAACGCAAATCATCAGAGGCCCCAAGTAGCTGCTTATCAAAACCAAGGTGTGTATGTTATTAGAGTTAGAGTAACTCGTTAGGAAGTCAGGATGCTGAGAGAGCCTCGACCATAAACATGAAATGATGATTCGAACTGTGGTGAATAAATTTTTAAGGAATGATGATTGTCTCCCGTTGAAACCCGAATTTTTTTCAGTCGATCCATTTATTTTCAATTGCTTAGATTGTTATAATGTAACTGCGAAGATCATAAAATCCTTACACATTTTTTTATCGCAGTTCGAACCAGTATTTGTTATATGCTTAAGTATCTATTGTTTCGCCCAATGAAATGCCGCTAGCCAATATAGCTCGGTTGGAAGAGCACAGCAAAGGCATCGCAGAGGTCATGGGTTCGATTCCCGTTGACAATAATAACAATGATGATGATAATGATAATGATGATGACAATAAAAATAGTGGATGTCTTCTCTTCTGATATATTATGTTTTGTTTCTCTACAAGGTTTTAATAAACTAATGAAGCATCAACAAGGAGTCCAGAAGTCTCAGATGTTTAATAACTTCGGMTTCGTGGCTCAAGAAAGTCGTCCACTTTCATACCTTCCAAATCCTTCCACAGAGACCGTCCAATCCCCTCTTGCAAGAAAGCTGATTACACGCAAAAACATGGACATACCACAAGCTCAAGCACTYCAAAACTTAAATGGAGCTAAGAATAAAAAGTGGCCAATTCCACAAAGGTATTTCTCAGATCAGACCAACTCCATGGCTCAGCCTTATGCTGCGCCTGCAGTCACAGTTGGTCAGCCGTTGATCAAGAGCAATCCTTTCCCTTCGGCATTCCAYCAACAAGTGAAAGTTACCAGTKCTAYCCCGGCAGARGCATTCCAACCAGCCAATCCTGACTTAGATATAGACAAGCCAGCGAAAACGGCACCTGCCCAACAACMAAGCARCATAATCTCTCTTCCAAACCAGCCCAAGGCATTCCAGCCAGCCAATCCTGACTTGAATWTAGATAAGACTGTCCACAATGTCGTSAAACCAGWTAAACAGGTTTCACATGTTCAGTCTGGAAAGATAAGAGATGACATAAATGGAGATGAGGTTTTSGATAATTCCATGCAAGACGAAGCTAATGAAGCTACTATTGACAAGGAAGAGTCAGATCCACTTCCGCCGGAAACATCYTTCAGTTATAATCCAAATTTAGAGCAAGAAGACTCGGCCCAAGTAGCTGACGCTACTGCTGATGCAGARAATTCCGCCAATCTACCAAATCACCCTGGAAGCGCTTTACCTTTGAATAACGCACCAAGTGAGGTCCAGGCCACCCCTGATGATATATCCGCTGGCCCTAGACCAAAGGTTACTTCAAAGGCGCCAGATGCCAAAACATCTCCACAGAAAGCCCAAGCAAGCATTAAAACAGCTCCCCAACAGTCCAGTCCTTCTAAAGATGCTAGTCCAACACCCCAAAATTCGCAAGCAATTTCAAATGTCCAGAAAACACCCAARCCAGCTTTACCKAAATCCCCATCGGGTCCACTTAAAGGTGATGATTTAAATGGAGGYTCAGAGATGAGTAAACTTGAYGARTTCTTGAGACCTGCTTCGACTACRAGCGAAGCCGAACCTGATCAAACCAGCGACAGCACTAAGCTGGAGGCTGGCAATGRAAKTCATGAGSCTCAACCAGCAACAGGGTCAGTTACCCCAACCAAAAAACCTGGAAGTCTTGCTATTAATCTTGATGTTCTGAAGAACCGTATATCAAGCAGTAAAGATATTGGATTTCTTAAACGTATGCTGACGTTGATCAAGAAGATCACGCATCAYAAAGACTTTAAYAARCTGGGAGGMGTTCAAAAGAACGCCATTGTTCAAGCAGGAAAAGCRGTCCACAATGCTGTYGCAAAGAATGATGGGAACTTYGGCGAAAGATCTTCAATYCAGCAACGTCCTGTTAATTGGGTACCTGGCCAGTATACCGCACAAGGGTACGTTGCTAATAGTTACGATGTCTCGGGTCAACAGACTCAGAGATCTTTCGTGCAAACTAATCCTCCAAAATGGAATCCTGGAGACTACACAGCCTACTCCTCGTACCCATCATACCAAGCGAGCCTTCAGTATCATCCTCCTCACTGGAARCCTGGTGACTACACYGCGGGAACTGGGTCGGTAGGTGCACAGTTGGTTCAACCAAATCAGCCTCAAGCCACAAAGAAATTCCAGATCGAGCGAAACMAATATTATCARTCACAACCTCAACGGCCAGTCTCCTATAGACCGCCATATCATAGTCTTAAAAGACTAAGTTTTGGACTTTATAATGGCAATACTCCTTAATTTTTCAAAGGATTAGACTGTGACAAAGCGAGGACAAAATAAAAGACATTTGGCTGTCTTCAGTGAGTTTCGTCTACCTGATGAAACAGCACTAAAACTATAAATGATTTTTTTTTTATGAATTTAGAGGACAGAGCAGGTGAATATATGAAGGAAACTATATGTTTCTATATGTTTAAACTATATGTTATATAACTAGTATGGGTTACTGATAGACGACATATAATCGCATTTACTAGATATTTCGAGTGCGCAAGACTTGGCATCCATCAAAAAAACCTCTTATTCATCTCGTGGAATTTTTTTAACACATTTGTCTTTCAATGGACGACCCACTTAAATGAACTATATAAAAATATAGAAGTAGGACGAATTAAAAGGCGGATAATTAAGAATAGTTTATATTGAGACGTTATTGACTGCGTTTTTGTATCGGTTTGCTTTCCCTTAAGGAAAAACAATACGAAAAACGCAACGAAAACCTATCAACSAAGACGCCTAGCAGCCGCGATAAATCACTAGTAAAATTTGTGCACATATACACAATATAAAACAGATATTAATCTACTTTCCTTAGACTCGGCTCTGTCTCGTTTAAAGGATTAATATCCAATGTTATGCAGGTCTAATCATAGCAGTGATTATGTTTTTAAAAGACAAATTTTACTAGATAATTGACAAGGAAGATAGTATAGTTTTTTTTAATTCTTGATAAAGGAGTGGAAATAAATTCTAGTTCAATGCTTTGCATCAACCTATGCATACAGAGAGGCATTATTAAATAAATGATTTTTTATTCTATACAAAAGTACTGTTTTTTTTTTGTTGTGAAAAAGTCTCCTTCACGGTTCCCTGCGCCATCTTAATAAGCAGCCGTGCCTTTGCATCGAAGCGAGATGACCGTGGAGCGTGCAATGATAGATACCTGTGAATAATTTTTTKTAGTTTTGAAAGAAGGTTTCTTTCATTGCAAGCTCAACGTTTTCTTCAGCCCAAGCTCTCTCGGAGTTGCTAGGAACGCCTGGCTATGCAGGCTACGCGCAATCAATCCTTTAATCGATCTTCTTGATCTTCTATATTATTATATAATGCAATCTCCACTAGAAACTTGTCACGCCAATAAAAATCAAAGGATGATAAGTCAATTTCAGGSCAGCCAATCATTTTGTGCTAAACACCCCACCACCCCATAGGTCTCAAGGGCCTCTAAAAAGAATAGATGACATATAAGTTTCATGAGGCATATTGTTCAGCAAAGTTAGCTGTTCGAGGTGTTCTGTCTCGCTGCACGCTAACCTCTGTCTAGCATACCACTTCACAGCGCTGCATTCTTTATTTATTATCGAAGCACATTCACCGTTTCATCTTCTTGGAAAATTTCATACTCTCCTAGTCTTAAAAAAACTGCTGAAGAACATGGCTTATCGACCCTCGCATCACAATGTACGCGACAAGGACAAGGCAAGTTAGCAATAACTAAGATTTCTAMTTTTGTCTTATAATCATTACATATTGTTCAATTGTGAGCAAAACCTTGTTGGTGAGAATAGACYTGAAGGCATGAACTTCTAGTAAATGTTGTTTTCCTCRTCCCGCRCCATTCCTATATTTCCTGYACTATCTATGCACTAAGTCTTTCCATAGGATATCGATAATTTTATGTCGAGGAATTTTAATTGACTTCTGCGCTTTTATCAACTAGAGGCTAATATTTAATCAGAACAGATTGATAAGAGGAATTAGATGTTTGATTAAAAATTGCATTTGAGTATCACTGCTTCGTGATAACAAAAATTTCTCCAACACTATACGTTTATATGACTATAAAMTTTCACGCGAAAATCATTCCCGTCGATTTCTGATCCCATTGACGAAAGCTGTTTTTCTTATGATGACGTCTCGCAGGCATTCTAAGCCCGGGAAAGACGATTAAAAAAAATATTGTGAAGCAGCCAGTTATGATCTTAAAGAAAATTCCTCGATTTAACTTATACGAAAAAATGAGGCCATTGATTTGCGTGTACCYCCTAGAATGGCGTCTTAMGCAAAAGGAATGTTTAYACTATGCATAYAAGGTCTAAATATGGTGCATATAKGACTATTTGACCTCAGATAAACGCAATAACTATATCTGGACCATATTTATCAGGAACAATCGATTATTTAAAATTATAGATTGGYTTTCCGTCGTATGCTTTGTCAAATACGTAATCTAAAGGTGTTTAATAATCTTCTGAACGGACCTAAAAATAAACAATCGATAGACTACAAGCAAGACATTGTAAAAATGTTTTTCGTGTGGTTTATTTGTCATTTATGACATGTTGGTTGACTTAACCACACCGTGTGGATTTTTTTTCATGATAATGGCTTAAAAAACACTTGATTTCTCAAGGTAGTGTATAATTTTCAATCTGATTTCATTAGTTGTGAATCGGTTACTTCTCGTCTGAATGATCAAATATAAAGCTTTTCAAGAGTCCTTGGAGGCCAATTAATGAATATTCTGAACAGCCGTTTTATTTGAGATCAGTGCCGACAAAAGCACTGACGTATTTAAACAAATTGCAAGAGAATGACAGATTAAGGTCAACATAAGGCTAAGCTTATCAGCTAAGAGCATATAAAATCAGTAAATATAGAAAGCAGTTGTCATGTTATCACATCACATWCAACATAAAACCACAGGAATCCCATGTATTGAATGGCTTTCAAACACATTAAAATATTTTAAGTAACCACAGGAGCCCCTTGAGAAGTTACTAAAAGCCAAATAGCTTCCAATGAATAATCGTGTGTGCATATGCAAATGAATTCTCGACGTTCACATGACGTCATCAATCGAAATAAATTCTAAAATCACAGACACACAACATTGTAGTACTGAAATATCTTGAAGAGCATGATAAAAGTTCTCTCTGAATATTTATTTTTTGCTGTTTATTTGTTAAGTTATTAATGTTCAAATAATAGACTGTAGTTCTGAGGGACACAGAGTGACGTCACAGCTCATRTTTATCAAAGCAGAAAAACCGCTGACCGATTTGTACTCTGCATTGATATTTCGATGTTTTCGGGAAGAGTGCAAAGGAGAAGCTTTCTAGCTCTACAAAACGGTTATAAAGGGACTATTTCGTAAGAGTCAAGGATTTCTCAGTATTTATTGGTATTTTCCTCGCCTTGAAACTTATGTTTTGAAATTTTTAATAGTCACACGATTCTGAAAGGTCTGTTTTGACTACAAATTAATTTTCACAGAAGAGATTGTTTAGGATAGAGTCTTGTATGTAATGCCTTTTTTGCAYATATGATTATTYATAAAWGTCACAYACAATCAATYRCACGGCKATTTTCCACTTCAAGTTATAAAGCCTGTTCGTTAATTGGCATCMCAAGAAACACTTCTGCATTCACAAAAATCATTAAAAGAACATATCTGAATAAGTAAATAGACACTATAGATGAGATAATAGCTGTTTGGCCTGGAGATATCTTTGCAACATAACAGSATCTCCCTGTAAACAACGAGAGTGGGACAATGATCGCATAAAGACCAATTAATTAAATATGAAAATCACAAAGACGCAAGCCTTTTTATAGATAACTSGATACGATTTCTAACTTCTGCTTTACTTGATTCATTTATCACGCGTCGTGGGCCTTATTACGAACAGACGATGAAAAAAACTCGACACCTTTAAGAGTTACGAGTTAAGGTCCAGCCCCGAAGAAATCGATGGTTACCATATACTTTTTCATAATAATATTCGCTGTCCGTTTCACTCTATAAAAGCTAAACAAAATCGCCTGAGAACACAACAGCCAATCACAACGCATTTTCGAAAGCCAGATCTTGACCCAAAGCATTAACTATGCCCAAAGACAACTACAAGTACATACGATTGGTTTTTAATGGCTCCGCGCTATAGTATTGAACGAATTCTTGATAACATGTCATCTAATTAAATTCTATGATAATCTTAAGGGCTTTTAGATGCATTACCATACTTTTTAACTAAAGTAGCGTATTGATATGCAACACTTCAGTTTTAAGATATTACTCACGCAGCCTTGACCTCAAGAGTATGAAATATTATTTTATCAAAACCATATTGTAATACAAAAACTCTGTGCATAAAGAAAACAAAAAAACAAAACAAATAAAATAAAATACAGATAAATTTTTACTCTTATTTCTTTGCGATTAAAAAAAAAATCTCATTACGTCACCATTATGACGTCATAACAGAGCTTTAAGGTCAAGCTCTCTYGTTGAGCTTTCGTTTTTGAGAGCAATCACATTTTCAACGACCTGTAAGAGATATCGAAGACTGTGTTTGAGAAAAAAGACAGTAAAATGACTGACCAYGATCACATGGCTTCTATGACAAACACGAAGCTYAAGGTAAGRCGAAATTCGCGGCATTGAGTGGCTTTTTTTATAGTTKTATTATGCCCTGTTCGTAATCAAGTCTG